TCACACACAGAAGAAGGCAATTGCAAACCACTTCTGGATCATCTGCCAAGAACGTATATGAACAGGTCCCAGTCCGAGAAAAGGATGGAAGGATCCTGTTCATATGGACCTGTCGTCAGACAGAACACTAATAATAAAATAAATAATAAAAAAGCCTTATGTACGTTTCAGTGTACATCGTCTTATCACTCGGATGGCGAACATGAAGTGTCAATGGACTTCATGAATTAGTGTACGAACAATTGGTTCTAGGAATAATGTTCGGCCCGAAATTTTCTTCAAATATAACTTTAAACAACAAATAGTAATAACTATATAATTATAAATTAATAGTAAAAAATATTTTTTATGGTTTGAAACTTGATTTTACGTTACGATGAAGAGAGAGAAGAATATTTTGACCTGACTTGAGTGACAGGGTGGAATTTTATAATTTGTGATTTTCTTAAGATATTATTAGGATGATTATATAAAGGAGGCTGAGATGGGCGGGGAATGTAGCGTGCATTGGGAAATGGTAAATAAGTACAATATTTTTCTTGTCAAGCTTAAAGGAAAGAGATTACTTGGAAGACCTAGGCGTAGATAAGAGGATAATATTGAAATGTATCTTAGAGGAATCGGGTTGGTGAATGTGGATTCGATTCATGTAATTTAGGATAGAGACTGTTGGTAATGAAATTTCGGGTTCCTTAAAAGACGAGAAATTACTTAACTAGCCGATCCTACTATTAGCTTTTCAGGGAGGACTTTGCTACATGCAATTAATCTAGTTAGGTATGACTTTTCACCGTATTAAATTTTTCAGACAGCCCAAATTGTCTTCACACTTCCAGGTGTTAATTATAACCTGTTAACTTCTTTGATGCATAAATTGCAGATCGATTGTCATCGTTCAAAACTTTACATACATATTTGCAATGGTTAATCATTTATAGCCATCAAATCAAAAGCTAAATATAGGTTTCGCTAGACCGCCATGTTATCGTACAGAACTTGGCACAAGTCTCTGTTGCTATTATGGATATTAACTAACGCATTCCATGTCGAAAAAATTATTTTAAGATGCTAACTATTTTACCTTAGTCTAATATTACCCACTAGTTGCTATTATGGATATTAACTAACGCACTCCATGTCGAAAAAATCATTTTCAGATGCTAACTCTTTTATCTTAGACACCTGAAACTTCATAGACGTTTTTACAAGGATTCGTCAGTCATTATCCTGAGCTAAATCCAGTTCTGACTCTGTCATAACATCTGGTATCTTTCTTTAAAGCTTTCCAACACAAATATTTTATCCCATCATTTAAGTTCTTGGTAGAAGATAACGAGATTATCGCGAGTTCTAGAAATCTATTTCTAGTGTACATTAATCGATTGATATCGGAAAGTAGAATTTTCTCGACATCAGAAGCCTAATTTCATTGCAGTAACAAAGGGTACTTAATTTATGGAGTTGTTATTTATTGCGTACGAAGAAAAGTATTGAAACCCCTTATGTACATATTTCTTCTGAACATCAAAAGTACACATTTCACTCTAATGTTTGGCTTTCCACTTTAATTTCTTTGTGACGTTGAGTGGGATATTTGATTAGGGACCTTATTACAGTTTGATTAGGTTAAATAATCAGACTCTTAGATAACCCTACATCAATTTCAAAACGTATTTACTTCCTAATAATATGATTGGACGATACATCTATCTTTACAATCAAGAATATTACTTTAATATTTCATTTTTAGAACTCTTGTAGCTGTAATACTTTTTTTAAAATTTGAAGTAACTAACATTATAACAACAAACTGATTGCTTCGATTGGTAAAATATAATGTGAATATTCTTTGTGGTTTTATTTAATTATAAGGCTCTCCCAAGATGCTCTTTTAAGCAATAGCCTACAATCCACTTGGTACATCTATCAGTACCCGTTCTTTAAGCTCTTGGTAAATAACTGAAAAAAGTTTCATACGGTTAACGCGAGGTAAAGAGAACATTTAAAATGTCCAATTTTCAAAGACACCAAGTCTTATCGTTAACAAATCGTATTAGATGAGTTGTTTAAATTAAATGTAACAACACAAGACTAATAAGTATCACGACCATTCAACCTCGATTCATTCCTCATATTGAGGTTTCTGTATCCATACGCCTTCTTGCATTGTCAGTTTATTCCTGACTTCGATCATCTGTAGTTGGTGAGTTATAATACGTTAACGTTTCTCATGAAGGTTTAAATTTGAATGAATCGTTTTTATTCTGTTATCTGTTCATTTTCTGTTATACTTCGGTTATCGATCATATAAAAATCTTCCCTTTACTATAATTTATCCAGTTTGTCCAACATACCTGCCTTATTTCCGTTAATTTCATTCTGGAAATAAGAAATATTTTGCATTTACAGGTACTCTAGTTATTTTCTCACTTTTATCGTAAAAAAATACTAACCCATAATTACAGAAAGAGTTTATATTACTATAAACATTAGTCTAATATGTTCTAGTGGTTGATGATTTTGTTTAAAAAGAATATTATGAATCTCTTCTTATCTAAAATTGATTTTGTAGCATTACTTTTAAATGTTTAAATTTTTTTTTTATAACTGTCGATTAATTTTAATAAACCTATATAAATATATTTGTTAATGAGACCTTACCTGACCTACATGTTTCGGTACATATATCCCTCTGACAGCATGAGGTGGACGGTTGAAGATATATCCACAGTAATAAGCCAAATCCACTGTATTGATGCACGCAGCGAGTAGGAGATATCAACGCACGATCACAACACCAACTCACTTAACACAATCGAATTGGAAGGACACACCTTCAACACTCACTACACCAATTTTCCGTACACCAAGCACACAATTCACTCCAAACACTCCACGGTTACCAAAAGAACTAGTATTTTTTAAAATAATTTCTGCGTAAAAATGGATCCACGGTACGGGACGCGGCGACTTGCTCGTCTCTGTAGACTGGCTTACCTGAGCCAGGTAACAACAAGCGGTGCCATCTTGTGTTATGCTCACGTCACGAGCCATCCGCCAATGGGAAACTATTAGGCGGTGGCTCAGGAATTCCTATACCTCCTATTACCCCTTCGCCCTCCCACACACCGAAAGAAAACCAGCTTTAAACACCTGAGGCATTTTTTTTACTATTATACGCCTTAGAAAAGCGATACATAGTACAGTCTCTGGACAAATTGATAGTTTGTTCTTTCAGACTTCATTTTATAATCCAGGAACAGTGGATGATCTTGGCCTGTGATTGCATTCCACGCTGTACTTGAAGCTATCACTAAGAAGAATTAATTGAAGAGGTTTATAGGCCCAGTTGATAAATCCCTTTCAATTACTGTTTTCAGATATGCAATTATAGTACATATATTAAGTTTCATTCTCATTGGCTTTCCAGTTCAGACCGTTTATTAAACAGAGCAGCCAAAGATGTGGATGTGATGATATAAATGTCTTCTGTTCCTCGTTTTTGCCCGGTTCAATTTCTAAGTTGTGTAACGTCCAGACTTGTCAAAACACTGAATACCTATTCTTACTGTGCCATGACAAATTTTGTCGTATGCCTTCTAGATGTGAAGATATCATATTACAATCTCTTTTGCGTCATAGTTCGTTATAAATAGTGCCTTTCATTACATCATTAAGGTTATAAGTATTCAGTAGTATAGCAAGTAGAGCCACGGTGGTCTAGCGGTTAGAACGCTGGCCTTGTAATCCTGGGGGTCTCAGGTTCGATTCCCGGCGGTGTTGGGCAAGGCCGTGGTCTAGGCAACACGGAGTTTTCCTCCGTGGCATCCCAACAATTACTCCATTCACACACAGAAGAAGGCAATGGCAAACCACTTCTGGATCAGGTCCCAGTCCGAGAAAAGGATGAAAGGATCCTGTTCATAATATGTCACCAACCTCCTGTAAAGGAGACGGCCTAATAAAGAAGAAGAAGGTATGGAAATACTAAAATAGATGAGGGTAATCAAATTTTTAAGGATGGCAAGGTTTGAGCTGGATTCTTTTTGTGCTGCTGCAGTGGTGGAGTTACACGGGTTAATTATGATGTAAGATCTTGAGGACAGGTTATTGATGCTATCTTTTCATATGTTTGCATATTCAAAGGGCAAGGATTTATATGTAAATATAGTTTATGGCTATGTGGAAATTGTGAAATTTTGTGTCAAAAATGTTAGTGCTTTATATTTGAACAAGATTAACTAAAACTTCATTGTTGTGATCTTTATAACAAAAGGAAGGAGAGGTATTTAGGCTTCTGAAACGGATATCCAGATATAAACACTGACAAGTTATTCCTCGTTGTTATAGATGAACCAGGTATGGGTAAGCTGTAGAGGAGAGAGCCCAGCTGATAGAGAGAACATAGGCCCTATCAGCTATATACCTAATCAAGGATTTCCTGGTTACTATTATCCTTACAAAAATGTAGATGGATATCTGAGTCCTCTTATTGCAGTACATCTGGCAAGGCCACAATGTGAGTCATTTTCATAATATTTCACTCTTTTCTCTTTCTACAAATTTATTTACCTACTCACCTAATTAGTTACTTTAGTATTATAATTAACATGAAAAGTCTATGCATCTTGCAAGTTGTTTACAAGGAACAAATTAAAATTTGGTTTGTCTGTAGCCATTTCTGGAAATTCCATTTTGAGGAGGAGGTGATTAAAGAAGTCATTGAACAAAACTAAATTATGATACAAGTATTGATATTAAAAATAAACTGCTACTGAAACCGGCGGGGCCCGAATTTTTAACTTGTGTTGGGCAAGGCCGTGGCCTAGGCAACACGGAGTTTTCCTCATTGGCATCCCAACAATTACTCCATTCACACACAGAAGAAGGCAATGGCAAACCACTTCTGGATCATCTGCCAAGAACGTATATGAACAGGTCCCAGTCCGAGAAAAGGTTGGAAGGATCCTGTTCATATGGACCTGTCGTCAGACAGAACACTAATTAATAAAAAATCTGTGGTTAAAATTCTGCCCTCAGTTGTCCGTCTCTAAATTACTATTGTCGAATGAAGTGGCGTGAAGTGAATCCACATAATAACAACTCTGGACGTTACGCAAGGCTTTTGTAACTGCCTGTTTACGTTTGCGTTCGTTGTACTTGAAGACAATGTTTTTTGTTTGTTTAAAACGAGAAGTAATGCATGCAGGTGATACAGATATAATTCTTTAGTCTACATATATCCCAACCTATAATATTTGAACTGGTAGATTTACATAAAACGTGGTAGGAATGTGATGCTTCTAAAATACTGTGGTTGTTTACTTAAATTCCTTGCCTATTTACCGTTAATAATCATCTCCCCATCTTGTTTTGTACTATACAGGGTTATTCATAATTCCTTGACACATTACAAAAAGTCCCCAGACTTGAATGGTGCAAAGGATTGTAACATGCGACATGCCGATAGAAAGAGAAACTCTCCAAGTTTCTTTGTACGTGCCGCGGTCACTTGGATTCGTCGGTGGCCGCTGAAAAACTGAATTTTAGCGACGAAACTACGTTTCACGTTTATGGGAAGGTGAATTGACACAATGTGCGGGTATGGGGATGTGAAAACCCACGTGCTATAATTGGGTACATTCGGGATTCACCGAAACTGGACTTTTCCATGCCATATCCAAAGAGAAGGTGTACGGGTCATTCTTCTTCGCCGAGGCAACTGTCACTGGCATGTCCTATCTTAAGATGATGCAGGAATGGCTAATGTTGCAACTTTATGATCACAGCGATGACTTCATTTACAAGAAAGATGGGGCTTCGCCACACTGCCACCGCCTCGTCCGCGGCTACCTCAATCAGCATTTGCCACAACGTTGGATCGGACGCATGACTGCCAATAACCATGCGCTGTTTCGTTGGCCACCCCGATCACCTGACCTGACGCCATGTGATTTTTTCTTATGGGGGTACGTTAAGGACCAGGCCTTTGTACCGTCTCTGCCACGGGATCTGACATCTCACAAATCGATCGTGACATGCTGCAGCGAATATGGGCGGAAATGGATTATCGGCTTGACGTCTGCCGCGTCACAAAGGGCGGACACACAGAGCATTTACGAGGTATGTAAAATAAACTTGGAGAGTTTCTCTTTCTATCGGCATGTCATATGTTACCATCCGTTGCACCATTCGAGTACAGCGATTTTTTGTAATGTGTCAGGGAATTATGAATAACCCTGTATAACAGTTCAAAGTGCATCGTTAACCAAATATTCATCTTCTGTGCATGTGTGTAGCGGGATACGGATGTGCTTTAGTGCAGGCGGTGAGAAAATAATTGTGTAATCCCGGACTTGGTCTTGTAGGATGATGACAGTGTAACATCTCACTCTCAGAACACGCCGTTTGATCTGCGACTTGAATCCGATATCTAATAAATGCAAAATGGTGATAAGTCCGACGCTACAGAGTTCAATTATAACAGTTTAAGGAACAGGATAATGGCTGTTTTTGGATCGTTGTTTCATAGACGTTTATCGACGTTTTAGAGGCAGTAAGCACCTCTGAAACGTCGTTAAACTTGTACCAGATGACACGGCGCAACAAACCAACGACAGAATCTTTGTACTCGCCGCGTGAGAACTTGTGGTCTCAGTTCAAGGTGTAAGGTCTTGTAAAACCGACATTACTGTTGTTAAAAGTCCTTTTTTTAGTATAAAGTTTTCTTAGTTACAATTTATTTCTATTTTTTTAAAGAGTATATGAGTTTAAAACTATACAAAATTACTAAATCAATTCCAATCCGTGGATATTTTTGCCTGAGAACCCTGACTTAGATATTTGGAATAACTTTAAATAAAATTAAGGAGGTTAGAGAATGATAAATATGAAGAACTCATGGGGGGGCAGACAAGAACGTCTTTCAAAATATTAGTAGATAAATCTGAAGGGAAAAGACCACTTGAAAATTTTAAGCATAGATACATGTATGTATAATATTAAAATAGTACTTAAAATAAGTAGGACATTATGTGGACTAGATTAAAGTGGCATAGAATGGAGTCCAGTATCTTACAGTTGTCGAGGTGATGACCGTCTTGTTTGTTAACCAGCTAAGCGAATGTTGTTAATTCTGAACAAGGACTGTATTCCATTGAGTTCATGTTTTGTACGCTGAATAATTTGTATATCTTCTGAAATATTTAATCACGATGATTGAACTTGAAAATGAGGAATTAGCTTTTTTACATCACGGCCTTTCATATTATTATTATTATTATTATTATTATTATTATTATTATTATTATTATTATTATTATTATTATTATTATTATTATTATTATTATTATTATTATTATTATTATTATTATTATTATTATTATTATTATTATTATTATTATTATTATTATTATTATTATTATTATTATTATTATTATTATTATTATTATTATTATTATTATTATTATTATTATTATTATTATTATTATTATTATTATT